ATAGAAAGAAAAAGTTTCTGGGTTGCATTTACATTAAAACCAAACAGTTTGCCATGAATTTCAAAAGCATGTCATATAAACAGAGTGTAATGAGCCCGTTTTGCAGAGAAAAAGAAAGTTTGTGATAATTCTCTGTAAAATAATGAGTACTCAATTAGTAAAGAGGCAAGGGTATGGTTCTGAGTATGTCAACCACTGAAAAATCTCAAACCTCCTTTCCTTTCCTCCAACACTCACATTGTTAGCATAAGATAATTTAAACTGAATGTTCAGTTTAACCATGAATTATCTACATTTAAATGAAATAAACTATATTCTTTTTGCATTGGCCAATGATGCTTGATTTCTGACTGAGCATGTTAAGTCAGTGACCATGAAACTTACCAGAGGTCCTGGATGTCCCTTAGGTCCATTTCTTCCAGCACGACCCTGCAAATTTAACCATATGCCGACTCTGAAACATACGACAACTGTTCAATTTTTTAAGCTAGTGACAGTATTAATCACATGTTCACCAATTGAAACATTGCATAGGATCAAAGATTGATAACTGAATACATTTAGAAAGAAACCCCTCCAGGTGGCTGGTATGTTGGCTGATAATGTCTGCAGCTGAGATATTGTCAGAGAAATTAATAATTTGGCTGAGAAGTGAAGCTTTGAGGACAAATGTGAAATTTTTAGATATGATAACAGTCTGGTAATTTTCCACCATGTGACATCAAGTAGCCAATAAAATTGTGCTAAAATTAATAAAAAAGGGTTATAAAAAGGTATACTTACCTTAAGACTGAAATAATAATCAAACCCATTCAAATGTTGCACCCAACCATAATTAACCAACAATAATTTCACCAATTAAAGTAAACTGTTATCTGTTGAAATAATTTATTTCAATCTATTTAATATGTAACTCTCCTTTACCTGGTGTCCAATAATCCCAAGATCACCTTTCAGTCCTACATTACCCTAAAAAGAAAAATGATCAATTGAGTTATCCTAGCATGGTAAGTGATTTATTCTTCTTCTTTCTGGGTAATCTACTGAAAAAAAAGATGTACAGTCTAATATACATTTCATCCTGGTAGTTTGCATTACAAATTTACTAAATCATTTTCTTAAAATTGATTGATTAAATTTTCCTTTCCAATAAGCTTGTGTACATAATTCAGCCAGATGGTATTTCCCCCATTAAAAAATGTGTTCATTATCATGTCTGGCCTAAATTATAATTTTCAGCCAACATTAAAAAAAAAAGCAACCTACCTGCTCACCTGGAGGGCCATGAGAACCAGGCTTTCCAGGGATGCCACCTGGACCCTGTTATAAAAAAGTTGTATGACATAAGAGGGATGATCCAAGCAGAAACAAGGTGTATACATTTTTTAAATTCACAGAAAAGGACACTCTTAAGAGATATTGTGTCTAAATGTGCCTGTCTTACCTGCATGCCTTTATCACCTTTATAACCCTTAGGTCCAATTTCACCGACCAATCCCTAGTATAAAAAGTATAAAAGTCTATTGCTATAGCTTGATAGTGGATACACAAATACATCCCATTAGACAAAAGAAGCAATGAAAGATGGTTAATTTTATCCTCGATATTGTATCAATATCTTGAGCCAAGTGATTCTAGGCAAATTAGCTTATTCAATGGGTTTGGACTACATCCTTGCAAAATAGCCTAATCAAGATATTAATATTTTGTGCAAAATAGGCCATAAACTATACTTTGCAGTTACTGTAGTGATTACTAAATCCGAAAAGGACAATGTCAAACCAATCAGAAGCCCAAACACACACAAAAGATAATAATAAAAAAACGATAACAATTGCATTCCACTGCCCCACTTCCACATCTGTATCTGTATTCAACATGTAGGTTGAATATAGATCACTTACAACATCCAAAAGTGGTGGAATGCAAATTTTTAGAGGAAGTAAATATGACATACAGGATGACCACGGGACTCAATGACTGTTACCACTCTTCTTAATTCTGTCACTGTGTTACTGGGAGGACCCTAGAGAATTGTAAAACAAAGTACACATGATGGAATTTTACAAAGGTTTAGCAATATAGTAGTCCTACTACAATAATAATATTGATAATAAGTGATGAAATCAGATAGGAGAAGAAGTAATAATTAATGCATGTAGAGCTGAAGTAGTAAAGAGATTATTGGACACTATTGATAAGAACTAACAACTTGCCTTGACTCCAGCAGGTGCTGGCATGGCAACCTAAATAGGGAAGTCAGCCAAAGTGTAAACACAAGTGGTTATATACAACAATGACATTTATCAGAATAGATATTGACTTCCTTCAGTTGATAGTTCTTTAAAACTAAACTACTGTGAAAAGTAAGGAAAATAAAATTTGTTTGAATGTTTTACTATTTACTTTTTTTTAAGTGGAATGAGCCATGTTTAAAGTCCAAAAGTGTACAACAATGTAATCAAATTGTCAGTACCAACTCTGAACCAAATGTCTATTTCACTTACCAAATGGCATAACGATTTAATGTAAGCATTTATCAGTAAACCATGTTTGTAAAATTTTGAATAAGCAATATTAATTGTCGAGAATCATGCCCTTGGGCCAGAATCCTAAATCCTCTAATCTGATTGGGTAGTTACTCCATTCTTGGCAAAGCAGAAAAAACAAAACCACAGAAAAACATTAATAATTTTTTTACCAGTCTGAGTTGGTCCATATGGCAACAAACTGTGCCCTTGGTCTTGAGTGCAGTACTCAAATACCTTAGGCCCTTTTTTTTCCCATATGACCTAAAAGTTCATTCTGTTACAGATTGCCATAAAAGTCACAAACAATAATATCTTCTGAGTCAGCTAACGACAAAAAAGTATAGCATGGTAAAAACCATCTTTCAAACACTTACAATGCCTTGGCCTGATTGTGTTTCAGTGCTGTTCCAACTTTCCTGCAATAAATTTTGTAACCTCACCATTAGGTACACTATCCAAAATATTTGATTGAGTAATGAAATGAGTAGTTAAAGGAAAAATCTCTAACCTTAGTCTGATGTTTAGCATGAAGATTTTTTCTATTAGAGCAATCACTTGTCAATGGTCTCTGGCAGAAAGCATTCACAGTTTCTCGCTGATCCACAAGTAACAGTTCACATATACCATTCTAATTAAAAGAGGTGGAATCAATAAACTCATGTAAGAGTTACATAATAGGTTAATAATAGGCAAGGGGGTTCCAGATGGAGACGACAAGTTAATTTCTTTTGAAGATGTTGCAAAGGCCTTCTCTAGATTCTCAAAGAAAAAATTTAAATCTTCTTCTTTCTCATCTAAATTTGTCTAAATCCATCAACATTTTGATAACCAAAGCAAGGTTCCTGTACCAATAAATAGAAACATTTATGTCATTTATTACTTAGTTTGTTAAATGTGCAGAATAGACAAATAACTACATAAACCCTTGAAATCAAAACAAAAAGACATATTAATACTACCAAGGTCAAACACCAGCTAAACCTGAATTTGAAAATAATTGCCAAAACATCTGGGTCCATCATTTCTTTCTTTACTATACCAATATGTGTGTAGTCTTTCAAGTTATAAATGAAGTTGAAAACCATCTTCTCCCTGTTCAGTATTCCTTTCTTTGGTTTCCACCATCCCAAGCAGTGAGCAACCTCATTACTAAGCAAAATGCATTTTCTTTTCTCTCTTTTTATATTTATCAATTTTGTTGGCTCATCAATAGGTGAACTTTCAAAAAACCATCTCTAGCACTCACAACAAACCATGCTACCTTTACACCACTATAACAGTTGAATGAATACTTTTTACAACAGGTAAGTATACATACCTTAATATCACTATCTTGGGCATCCTCAAGGAGTGCTGTTACAGCAATCTTTTCCCACTCTTCCAATTTACTAATGCTTGGCAGTGATAGGTAGTTGAATTCTTGGCAACTTTGGGTGACTGAGATTTCTTGGTGATTAAAGCTTACAAGCAGTTTTTGCCATGAGGAAACACTAGCTAATTTAACAATGCCAAATATGGAACTATTTCTTTGAAATGAGAGTGATCTATTCTGAACTGTAAGGACATAGACAGTTTCAGATGAACTTCCATCAACAGCATTTATATTTATCACAAATTTCCTACTGTCTAATTCCTGCCTAAAAACCAAAAGTAAAGTGTATCTCAAGGACTTTTTAGTTAATAAATAGTCATTTTCTGGTATTAATGGTGCAGTTGTGCTAGTTTCTTCTATGTATAGGGAGTTCTGGTTAATATTATTCTCTGATGCATTTATTCCTGAAGTATGCAATCCTTGAAGATCTACTGGAAGTAATAAAAGAGCATATTTACTTTGAATTGTGAGATTCCTAAGAAAGGACTTAGTAATATCTAAGGTTGCATAGTGGCTTGATACATCAAACACTGACACCTTAACAACATTACAGTTACACTGTTAAAAAAGTTAACCTCTAGAGATCTTAAATCCCGATATAACTCTTATCTCCAGCCTCATCACCAACTAACCCCTTAAAACCATAAACAATGAGAGAAAAATTTTTAAGAAAAAATATGTAAGGGACTTCAAATGCTTGAAAGGTCAAATGATGAGCAAAACATTGGAAAATAAAAGAAAAATGCAATTCTGGAGATTTGGTGACCCACATAGGCAATTAGAGAGATTTGCTCTGTATTTGTAAGACTCCAATTAAGTGTCAGAGAGTTAGTATACATGTTCCTTTTTTTTTTAATATGAATGTACAAAAGAGTTGTTCAGGATAAAGAAAGACAAAGAATGACAGTTGTATATATAGTTTCACTTTTCAGGACAATTTTTCAAAGTTAAATAGGTGGATATAATCTACATTTGAGGAATGTACTTTGAGGTCACTCTCTAAGCGCAACAAATAATATCATGTTAAAAACATGTGGAGTTAGTGCTTTTACAGATGTACACTCCTTTGCATGAGACTATTCACAAATAATCAACTGACTGAACAGTTTGTATTATGCAAAATACTGAATATCTGTTGTTTTTGCTGAGATCTGCCAGCAAATGAAGCTAAACCTGTCTATTTATAACAATATTAAGTTAGTTTTTGGAAATTCTATTAATGCTTCAGTTTCACATTTACATGAAACTAACAAAGTTTCATTTTAGAAAAACAGGGTAAACAAACAAGGAAATGATTGAGATGCTTAAGATTATTTACTTTGTTATTGTTAACATGAGGCATGTTGAAGGAGAATTTCAAATCTTCCCACCTGTTGTGTTTGAAGCAATCGATTCTGTGGTAACTCTCGTTTGATGTCCATTGGCAGTTGCAGTGACAAGGAGAAAGAATAAAACTAGTACAGATCTGAAATGAAGTGACAGCACATAAAGAATGAAACATCTTACCAAAAAATGAAAACTATAGACAATATATATAAATATGTATATATATATATATAGTTATAGTATAATCTAACTAACAGAAAAACACTACAATTCTACAAGCTCAACTACTTTATCAAACAATATGCAATATTCTTTATAAGGAGCAACTCCTAAAGGCAGCCCAGTACTTATCCTTGATAAACTTACTCAAGCCCACCACAGTCTACATCTTAGCTCACCACTGAGCCAAACTCCCAGTTTCTTCCAATATTTATTGAAATTAGCAATCTTCCACCATAGCTCTTTCTTGCAGTATAGCTTTCTAAACACTCCTATCAACAACAACAATGCTACTACATAGCTGAGTCCTTATATACATTCACAAAGTGTTCTGAAACATTCCACAAGCTTATAAAAGAAATATTTTAGTAGTATTATGTAATGACTGCGTGACTTGATGAAATGTTCCAGAAAGTTCTGTGGTATGCATATCAGCACAACTAAGCAGTCTGAAGATTTCCAGAAGCTTACATATACAACAACAATTACTTATATATATTTATATCTATGGCAGAGAGCAAATGGTGAACAAATTGCAGATGCTGCACACAAACTCTTTTCCAATTATCTCTACATTGACTACAATCAATTAGAAATTGGATTATTTCCAAGAAGCAAAGGCAGTTTAGAAATACATGGAACATATGTTATATATTTTAAATATGTTATTCTCATTATGGTTAGTTAGGAATTTAAAACACTATATCTTAACAAGTAGCACCTGCTAGTAAAGTTAATATATTAACAATGAGAATTAAAACAACTCTGTGCTGTATTTAAGAAATATCTAACTTCAGAGTAAAAGAGATTTGCAGCATGTTCTTAAGCTAAGTAGAAACAAATCTAAAATACATGCAAGTATGAGGCTGCCTTTGTTGAATGTTTTATAAATTCAGGTTGATTTGGTTCCTTCTTCAGTAAGGTATCTTTAAAATGCTCCTATCCAACTTCCAATACACAACAATATAGTACATGTTATGGTCTGCTTATGTGCGAGCAAAGGGGGATTCCCTCTTAAAGATAGGTAAAAGCATATAATTATGTGGCCCCGTTAGAATGGCCGAAAGCAACACACATATTTCACATTCAAAAAAAAAAAATGAAATTGCTAATTCTGTGTCTCAGAGCGATTTCTGAAAATAAAATGAAAAGAGTTAAAGCACCCCTAAGATAAGATGAGTCTGGATAAATTTCTCGCATGTTTACTTTAGAATTAGTACTCTCAACTTCACTCGAGTAAAAGTGGAAAAGTGGCTTACGGGGCCATGATGACTCTGATATCTTTCTTAAGGTTATCTCTGTCACGTTCATCAAGATTTACTGAGAAACAGAAGTAATCCTTCGCTTTCTAAATAAGGCTTCCAGTTCTTTGCTCCAAACTATCAATTAGTTTGGTTTCGTATTTATTGCGATTTAGCACATTGTAAGAGAATTTTAATGAGGATGTCATACATCTTTGCAACGTGTGACAACTATTTTATCAACGCTAGGTTGTATTTCACGTAATCTTCGAACAAATTGTGGTTTTCACACCTTTCCGGACAGAAAAGAGAGCATAATATGTGAAATCACAAACACCGTGATGTGAGGGACACTTACCTTCTAAATTTACCATTGAGAAGTCCACAGAAGGATTTCGGATTTTCCAAGTTCTTGCTGGCAATTGTTTCCTTCTTGTCTAAGAACGTGGTAATCATCGCATTCTCGAGGCAAGGCTTTCAACAGAATGAGACTGGATTAGGTTCCTACGTAAAGGGAACTCAAGAGCACACAAGAACTCACTGTGAATCTAGGCGACAAATGAATGTGATGCGTTGATTGTCAGATGACGAAACCATTATAAATGTCACGCAGTATCCACTCTCAGACAAAGGTGGCCTTTTTTGAGCCAAGTATGAAAAAAACCTATTGATGAAATAAGCCATGTATAATCAGAAGGAGAATCGCAGTGTTGATTGAGACAAAGTTTTCATTATTCTACGTATAAGCTTGCTCTGAGAGCCAATCTATCAACCTACCACGTCACATGATGGTTCTTCCCGAATCAAAGCGTTCGTCAATGAGTGTTTGTACAGCGTATTGAAAATACGCAAAAAATCTGAAAGCACTATTCGAGGACGATCCGTGTCCTACCTGCAGCCTTCAGAGTGGAGATTGCTGCCGGCCTCCTTGTTTTCAAAACACAGCGCGCGATCTCCAATGCAAGCCATGCGTCAGACTGGACCCAAGTGGCTTGCTTGTGTCAAGGACGACAACAACAGGACCTTTGTCCGTTGCGCGGTGGGTGTAAGACAACGATAGGAGACAAAATTTTTAAAAATATCCTTTTTTTCTTGGAACGAGACAGATATGAAGAACGATCGAAAAGTCACTTTAAACATCTCTAGAGTTCTTAATAAATACCGCCCAATGACAAGACAACCAAGTCAATGCACCTCGGAAAACAGACTTTGATGAGGATGCGTGACAAGACCTCACGCAGAAGCGGTTATCTGTATGGTTTTCAAAATTTGAGCCGAAAAAGTAAGACAGAAGAAATAATACTTATACCGGAAATGAGCACTCTGTCAGCATACAAATTATTTGACTGGTCCAGTTTTAATCTCAGGAATGGTTTGCGATTCGACGTAGGGTGATACACAATTTCATAATTATCATATACATTTCAGCTTCTTGACGGTCACTAAATGATTACAGACGTTTTCAAAAATGTTTTTTCTTTGAAAAAACCAACTTAAATGGTAAATTGGAGAAGGCAAAAAAAAAACGAACTAATTGAAATGTTAAGTTTTGTGTTACTAAAAAGTGTGCCGCGCTTCTCACACAGTGTGCTGATACATTTTCACTACTTTGTTGTTAAGTTTAATATCGTGCGCTCTGAATTGGCAACAATAAATTTATGTCCATGATTACAACTGATAACTCCTTCATCGGGTAAAATACTATTGGACTCCGTTTCACTAATTATTGCTGTCTTTTCCTCTCCTTAAACACGTTTTCGGTGAAAATCCAATTGACCTCTTGAAACTAAGGTGATGTATTATTACCCAGATAAAATTAAAAAAAAAGGAGATAGATTTCACAAAGGGCCTCAAAGAAAGAAACGAGATCCATATTTGTGAGCAAACTGAAGTTTAAGTCACGCGATGTGATTTGAAGGCAACCTTAATTTTTCTAACGAAAGAAAATAAATACAGTATATGGTACTAAGATTTACAGCGACTGAGACCAGCTGAGTTCAACCTGCAGTAATGACTGATGGACTGACAGAACTTGACTTGATAATGGAGGGTGCTGCAGAACATTTGAAAAGTACTGATTACTAATCAAAGATCAGGTGATCAAACTCTGTTTGAGTAAAGAGAATAAAAGAGTCCTTATAACACTTTTTAGTGCGCTCCTGCAGAATTTTTATCGGAGGGAGTACGGTCTTCAAAAGAGATGCAAATCAGTGGAGGCTTATTGTAAAGATACCGGAAAATCTGTTACAGAAGCAACAACTAAAGCTTTTCTTTTGGTTAGGAGATACCCTTAGGGTTCTCCAGCCGAAAGTGTGATAAGACGGCCTTGTGGTACATGCACTGCGTACATCATGAGCACTGGAACGATAGGAATCGCAGGAATCACCACTCACGAAAACCTTTCATCCAAGCTAACACTTCTGTAGTGAGTATCACTAATTTGAAAAAAAAATTCTGCCAATTAAAAGATCAAGATGCGGTCAGCAAATTTGATTGATTCGTTTCGCATATATGTATGAAAGCTCATAATTGAACTTTCATCTAAAGGTAGGAACAGAACATCCTACCCCAAAGCGCTACAAAACTCCTTTAACATAGCTTGAATAGCAACTGAAACGACTAATTGGCTCTTCTGGGCTGTAGAACGAATCTCGGAGCTTAGGTTACAACAAAATACTGGTGATTGATGTAAGCGTGGTTAGGATTCACTGAAAAACTATAGCGTGATAAGTTTGCGTATCGACGATAAATATCTCAGCGAAAAGTAAGTCGATAAGAGTATTTGACACCCACTTGAAAAATTCTGTCACAGAGTAAAATGAAAAGGAAGTCATTTAAATACCCTAGCGCTGTTAAAGGACCGAGAAGTTCTTGGCCAAAGACTTCAGCAGTAGAAATGTCTAGTTTTGACAGCACTGAGTTCAGCCCTGGACAGGGAGTCAAAGAAATCATTGCACTGATTGTCTTCAAATTCAGGAAGATCGGAGTCAACTCCCACTGTGCTCTTAACATGTTGAGATGTAGTAAAGTTCAACAGCAATCACCTCAATCATTCAAACACCACTTCAGTTGAGATAGCTGTTTAAGGCTACCATTTTGAAAAACCCAGGGTCTCAAACTAAAATAAAATGAGACAAAGACAGTAACAAAAACTACATTTTCTCGCCGTACGATTAAAAAAAAAACCTGACCTGTGACTGTATGTGCAACGCTGTTTCTGAGACATACACACAAATAGATCATGACAATCACCGTCAGTTGAATTAAATGAGAGCAAAATGAATGGTAAGTATGCAGAAAGAAAAGAGAACACGTATGTTTACGACTGTAAGCGATCATCGTCAGTTCCAACTAAAAAGGCTTATATAATTAAAGAGCACTGCGCTGGTGATCAGAATTGTGGGTTTTGTTGGTTTAGTGCCATTTTGGTCACAATGCAAAATTGAACCGTCAGTGGCCTAGCTTTAGCATCCCTCTACAGTCTATAGAGCTTCCAACCAGTGTGGGTAATGCTTGGAGTTCGATTACACTGCGATGCGGTCTGAAGGCTAACCAGTGCTAATCAGTGAAATCAGTGAAAGAGATAAGGTACGATGGAGTCCAAACCGTCTTTGCCTCATAGGACGAAAGAATGAACAAAGCAAGATGTTCGGGTAATGCGCGACGCTCGGCTGTTAAAACAAGTACGCCTAGTCTGAAGGCTCGGGGAAGAACTATACTGACATCGCGTAAGTGATTTATCACAGCGACGAGATTATCCCTACGCGGCGAAACCCCACTATTCTGATACCCTGATGAATACTCCTTAAAGCTTAAGTTCGTCCAGAGAATTCAAAGATGGTTTACACTTTCAAACCCAACGTCCGGTTATAACATAGTCAGAAATTGTCCTTCTACATAACCTGTCCAACCAGGGGAGTCACAATTTAAACTGTGCAATAACGACCACCGGAACTCTTTTACAATTTCAAAATACTTCTTAACCCATAATCCAGCCGATAATCTTCTCTTTTGGTCGCAAACAAAAACATCTCTTTCTAGATTATAGGTACCCTTGGGAGTCATCAAATGCATTCAGCTGACCAACACAGCTGATTTACTGGGTTTTAAATCTGGTGGTGAGACAAAAAAAGTATTCATACCTTCCTATGATCAAGGACGACCTTGCTCACTATGAACTCCGAGGTTCAGTCTGATTGTCCTTATCAATAATGATGACCTCGATTTATCAGAGTTATTAGATCGATGTAAAGGAAATGTTTGGTTACAACGAGCTGGAATTGTTGTTCATTTATTAACGACTCGTTCCGTCTTCTACCCTTCATAAAGATAACCGTCAAAATCGATTTTGACTAGCAATAGCCTCAGTTAGAAAAAGTAACCATGAAGAGGATATCTTTCCGTATTTTCACCAATGGGCTCACATTCATATGTATTTTTTCAGCTTTTACAAAGCACAAGAAGCACACACACACACACACACACAAAATGAGCTTCAGGTGAGTTTCAGGAGCATGACGTTTTATGTTGCAATGTCACATTTCTACGCTCGTTCTTTACTAGCTTCCCTATTTCCTGTTTTTATTGTCACGCAGATCAAGTTTAAGTCAAGCTTTCACAAATGGCCATGCTTGCTTGTCTGTCTCACCCCTACCCGGCTCTAGCCGCAAGGCCAACTGAACCATCTTTTTCTCAAGGGACATATAAAACTGTGTAGCAACCTCAGTCCTTAGAAACGGATAAAAAGACCGAGAAACACATGGCTGTTCAGTTCCGCCATCTTGACCTCAGACTACACGATTGGCGATTATAACTTGCGGTTATAGGTTCAGTTTCAAAGTTACATTGTCCACGATGGTTATGATGTCGTTGGTCTCCGGCTCTGGTGCCCAAACATTGCATCAACATGGCCACTGCAAATGATTACTGCTTTTGCTTGCCTCTAAAGTCCCCCCTTTTTAGCCATGAACAAATATCAATTATTTTCCTTCTTTGACAGCCAGATTTTCTACTGTTCGGACAACTTTGGATGTAATTAACTCCTCGGGAATATTTACTAAATTATGAGTATAGTAGATTAAAACCTACCCTCATCAGAGGCTTTGCTTCACCCATTGTAGTCACTGGAGTACTTGATGGTACTCAAGCTGTAAATTACATGCAGTATGATTGACGATACTGATAAATTTTTCATTATGACAGCTCTTAAAGTCAGTGAGGTAATCTGATTTCTTTTAACCCACTTAGGTGGTGTTTAGAAAAACGCACGAAATGTGTAACTCAGTTTATTTACAATAAGTTATGAAAAGGAGATTTAATTTTATAACCACTGATAAAAGGATGGTTTTTTTAAATGTCCAAGCCAAAATGAAAAGTAAAATTGCAATGAAAGCGATATGTTATTCAAAATTTTGGTAACCTTACGGGTGCATTCTTTATCCTACCAAGGGGGTAGGTATTAGGAGGTAATGTGTAACGAGAATAGAAAGATCTTTTCTTAAATCATATCAATAAGCTTATTCTAGGACAAAGCATGTTTATAGGTTTCTTTAGATATCCACGCCTACACAACTTGCATGTCGTTATAGAGGAGACCAAGGGAATGTTTGAAGTCCATCAGTTCATTTTCAAGTTTACCTACGAAAAACAAAGGGGTTTAGAACATGTATATCTTACAGTGTGATGTGAAGGGACGGATTCGAGAGGAAAGGAAAAAAAGCAACTTGTCTTGTCAACAGTTGTTGCGTTATACCGAGGGTGAATGATGGACAAGTACGACAAAATGGAAAAAAATCGAAAACATGTGTGTTAAGAGGTCAAAAACTCGATAACTCGTGACAACAGACAACAATTTGGGATTGTCCGTAAAAGGAACCACAGATAATGTTGCCCATATTCTTACACCTGAGGGCAAATCAGGTCTGTATACAAGTATCCTCATCAAAACTTTGTTAATCTTGCAATAAAGCAGCTTTACGGTGTTCAGTTACAACATACTCTTCACACACTCTCCCACATACGGCGGTAACCTCTGAGAAGCGGAGCGGTCCGGTTCGAAATAGCTGCTACGCAACATGATATCATATAAAGGCGCTCCAGATGAATTGAAAAGTGATTAATTTCCCATTAGCGCCCATCGTGTCTTCGTAGACAGTTCGCGGTTTTAATTATCCTTTTCTCCTCTTTAACTAAGGTCACGATATCTTAACATCATTATGTGGGTTGGTAACATGTTTTGAAAAAGTTCAGTTCCAATTTTTATCACTCTTTCTTCACTAAGGATCATCTCGAATGGGAAGTTGATATTGCATTCATAATTCTCACGGCTGTCTCTGCAAGATACAATTGTTTCGAATATTTTGGCCCATTTTAAAGTGGAAGTCGCTGCAGTGGTAATTTTGAAGTCTTAATTAGTGATTAAAATGATGGTTGCAAACAATAAGTATCTTACTTATTCTTTCAAGAACCGCAAACAATTCCTGAAGTTTGTCCTGAATAGTTTTGCTGTGCCTTTCGTAAGTTTGAACGATATTTTCTTCCAGAACACCACAAGAAGCGTTGATTTGTTCCTCGAGAGCTTTCTTGAAATCTAAGAACATGAAATGTTTTTCAGTAAAGCGATCTACATTACTCAGGAAACTGTAACAGACGATGGGTATCTTCCAACGGACCTACACTTACGAAAGATGACGCGACGTTGGGCCCCCGAATCCGCTGAAGACTATGCGGTTCATCAGGGGAGTGACGTCCATATACTTCGATAGGGCGTATGTACGTATATGCCCTTCATAGAAGCACACGTGTTTACCTTTAGAATGTAACGATATACATCCCTATAACGATTAATAGAAATCGGCTTTTGTGAATGAATCGTCCTCATTTCTTTGTTGTGATACTATAATGTGTGGGACCTGATATCATTATACACGAAAACGGTATTCGAAACGTTACTTAGCTCAATGCGGAACTTTGACTTATCTACAAAAAATATGCATAGGCTAGAAGGGATAATTACAAATCAGATCTTGAGACCTAAAAGGTTAAGCTCATCAACCATCCCAAGTGTGGATGATAAACGAATAAAAAGCCTCGACTACGTTCTACATTGTTGCAAAGCGAGAAGAAACGACTAGATAAGAAATTTAAGGCGCTGCTCTCGACATTTATAGCTTAATCAAAGAAATGAAGGTCATTGCTTCCATATCGGATTCAATTAAGTCAAGAGCTAGACAATTAAAAAGAAGGTTCAAGAAAAAGGGTCTGCTTTCTCTTTTTATTATGTCAAAAATAAATTAACCCTTGCCCCTCTGTTGGTGTAAAATGCGACTCTTAAACTATGCAAAAGAGAAGAATTACATGTGATAATCACATACATGCTTTTAAGGCAGTCGGCAAATATCGCATGACAACACTTAAACATTCATTCAATCCAAATTGGAGAGAAAATGTGTCGCTTCCCACATACAGGTAAAAGGAAATCTGACTAGATTCACAAGATCTTTTCAACCACATAGCACCGATAGGTCACGTTTCCTAGTGCGTTCATAACTCAGTTCCTTCGATACCGAGAGAGTTCGTCTTGTTGTGGATGGTGCCCTATGAGAAATCATCTGGTGGGAGAAATTACCTTTTTACCAAAATTACCTTTACCACAATTACCCTACTGGCCCTCTCAAGAGTTTGGGCTACAATTCAGATACGTTTCCTAAAACGGGGTGAGATTAATCTAATGCGCAAAAGCTTCAGGTTAACAGCAGCCATAATACAAATACGTTGACGAACAAAACGTTGCACCCTTAAGGTGTCCCTTTGATTGCAAATTATTTCTATCTGAGGGTTAAATCAGAAAAATGGCGAAACAGCCATGACAGATTAAGACAGTATAGTCATTGATCAAGCAAAGAATCAGAATATTCAGGATTTTTACTCTACCGTTCAATAGATCGGTGTCTCGCTTTCTTTTGGCATTGATATCATCGATGAGCTGCTGGCAACTCCCCTGAATCTCATCGTGGGAGGCATTTTCACTTGGGACATTGCCATGTTTCGTTGCTGATAAACTACGGATTGCAAGTTGATCAGGTTCCTTTGCTCTCTCTAGAGGCTCACTAAAAATGAAAGAAACACTTATCGGATCAGTATCATGCCAAAATCTTAAACACTGCAAAAAGGATGAACAAGTAAAAGTAAATTTTGATGAGAGATAGTGCATGGAGATCTAGAAATCAATGCAGTCCAAAATCAGAATTGAAGAGCCCTAATGTTTTTAGGTCTGATAATACTGTTCTACAAAACATGGATGTATGTCCTTAGACAACTAGACTATTAGAATAATAGAAATAGATAGCAAAATAGAGACCATCGAGTTCATTATCCTTTAAATATTTTGCAACGCGCGTCAAACCATGTTTTACAACTGAATTCAATTTAAGAGAACTTTTTGCTGTTGTTGCAGAGGAAAACACTGACAAAAGGCCGTACCAATTGTTGTGGTAAACATATTTTGTTCTGCGCGTTTCAAAAATATTATTGAAGGGCAATAGGCGCAGAATCTTCCATTTGGCTAAAATACATGTTCGTATATTTGTCCTTGGACATTGTGTGTTCCTGAAAGCTCTCGGAACAGATAATCTTTTTCGCGGACAAATATGCAAGCATCTTTTCCTGACAGATGAAGGCTATTCTTTGAATATATTGATAAACATGTGCATTTAAATTTTACTCCAAATTTCAAAAATAAACTCATTAATAAATTGTAGTCAGCAGAGTTTTGGGACTTTTCCATACAGCCGCCACGTTTAGAAAGCATTTTGATCTTTATCATATGTAGTCGAAATCCTAAATTCCGTGGGGGTAGTATGGGAGGATATGAATAACAATTCGGCTTATCCCGATGTGTAAATGTATATTAAATCCTCCTTTTCGTCTTTGTATTAATCAGGTGAAAAGCGACTACGTCAGTGTACCGGCTAATGTTCTTCTTTTCTTTTCACCTTTTAGATCATTAAAATATGGATGTAGAGAAAGCTATGCAGTCTTGAAAAGAAAGCTGAAAATAACCTCAACCTACAGTCTTCTTGACACAACACATGGTCTCAAGCAAAAAGCCCTATAGACACGTAGTCCCATGTTAAAGCGTTTAAGTAAGGCTCACCACGGCTTCAAAGTATCTCCTCTTGAAGTTACGTCTTCCTTGGTATTAAGTTCTTTGTTTTCTTCGGGAGTTTTGCTTATCGCATCTTGTTTCTCCATTTCCATTCGAAGTCCGGATGCCTACAATGAATAAAATGTGAATCCAGCCTTCTCCCGATGTTCATTGACAATAATACATTTTCACTTACCCTATTCCTGGTCAACAGTGACCAGTCATCCTTGCTCACCCTTTTTTTCGAATCTTTCGAATCGTGAGACTTTTCAAGACACTTTTCTTCAGCGAAGAGCAAAAACTTTTGAACATGAATAAAAGTTTTGCCGACCACTGATGGGACGCGCGCGGGGCACCACATTTTCGCGCCAAAAGTAAACTACGTGATAGAAAGATCGTCCATCAAACGACCAATCAGACCCATTCTATGAGTTTTTGGTCCCTTTGGTCTAAAATAGGACTAAGGTATTGTATTTTCTTGAAATTAGATAAATTCATATCGAGAAAATAGTAATGTAAATAGGGTTCAATCTCCTATTAGGGAAGGTACGTTTTTTCTTGGGGGGGGGG